CCTCTACTTTAAATATTTTCCAAACGAGGCTACTCAACTTAGAGGCCCTCTTTTTCTTTCCCCTAGTATCAGTGCCAAGGGTGAAAGTTCCATCAATATCAATAGCATCAGTGCTAACACTATCATGATGTGATTGAATATCGTCAAAAGTGAACATGTTGTGAATTGGTTTTGGGAAGAGCCAACCATTTTTTTTATTTCTAAAAAATAAAAATTAAAGTAATTGGACTTACCCGCATTGCTGGTTAAAAATTAATTCAGAATTCCAACTTGATTTCAATGGTTAAAGCCTTTCAACGTCTAAGCCTTCCAAATTGCTAACTTAAGATACTTGAGCTGGTTAAGCAAGCATTTTTCTTGTTGAAACTTCAATAAAGTTGAGATTTAGAGAATCAAATAATTATCCAATCAAACTATCAGAGTTCACTTAGATTGCAGAGAATGTATGAGAGAGAGAGAGAGAAGAGATTAAGAGAATTGTTGAATTGGTGTGATGAAAATGGTGGAGGATAGGGCTATTTATAGGAATTGAAAATAATTTAATTGCCCAAAAAATATCCTAAAACTAGTTGTTTTTTAGTTGTTGGGAGGGGTATTTTGGTCATTGTAAAGTTATTTATAACTATATCCAAAATGCCCCCCTAAAGTAGTTGTTATATACCTGTTGGGGAGCATTTGTGTCATTTTTTCTCCCCCATAAGCAAAATACATAAATACACCCTATATATTTGTTTATAGCTATTAGGGGGGTATTTATGTAAAAAAACCCCCAAAAGCTGAAACTAGGTCCCCAACGGCTAGTTTTTGGATGGGCCGAGCACGGCCCGCTATGGGCCCTATGGGCCAATTTGCACCTCTAGGTAAGGAAACCTATACAAGCTTTGTAAAGGTTTCTCTACCTTTCCCTTCCTTTTCCTACCTTTTCCTTCAAACCAAACATAGCCCAAAGAGGTGAATCTGCTGTACAAAATGGGTAATAATTGGCAACAATTTGGAAGTCATAATGCTATATAAGCAACCAGATCACAGAGATTCATTAACAATGAGAAAAAGTACAATCACGTCAACTACCCATTGAAGAGAAATTAGACCCAAGGCAATGAGGTCGACCAAAAATCATATATAGAAGAATTAAAATATCTATACAATGCATATTAGGGATGCAAATGAATCGAATTGGATTCGAATCAAGGTATATTCGAATCCAATCCAGGATATGATAAACATGGATCTGAATTTGAATCCAATGAGGAAGTCAGATTTCCGAATTTGATATGATTCGGTCCGATTTGATTTTTAAAAAATAATAAATTATTAAAAGGAAAATAAAATATAACAATTTAAATAAAGAAAAACAAAAACTACAAATATCTTTTCAACTATTTTTATCATATATATACATATTTTTTATAAATAAAATAATATAAAAATTTTACAAAATACAATATAAATAATATATTTATAAGTAAGTAAATAAATAATATATATATGGGCCGAACTGAAGATCCAAAATGGGGCTATCCGAATTCGAGAATATAGGATTGGACTTCGGATTGGATTGGATCATGATCCGGTCCATTTACACCCCTATATCCATATCCAGAGTTACATCATGACTAACTATGTAACCCACTAGTCATGCAATGCACCTTTATATCAAGTAGTATTGCACCATATCGATGGATACGGTCTGATATGCATCAATATGGAAGCCTATATAGTGCTTGGTTTTACAAGTCTTACATTGACTAATTTGAACTTTAATAAAAAATGAAAATTATAATTATAAAAATTGAAATAGAGTTGTAATTATGAAATATGAAATAAATATTTAAGATTTATTTTTTTCTTAAATTATAATAAAAACTAAAATTATAAAAATAATTTAATTTATCTACCTTAAATGATTTATATGTTTTATTTTATGTATAGATTATATGTTAAAATGAAAACATATTTATTATTTGAAAAAATAGAGTTATTATTTATATAAAAGTACTAAATAAATAGCAATTTTTAACAAAATTAATAAAAATTGAAAAATGGAATATATAATATAAGATTTAATTTTTCCTAAAAAGTTAATAAAAATGAAAATTATAAAAATAAATTATTTTATCTACTTTAAATGATTTATATATTTTATTTTGCATATAAATTATATGTTAAAATAAAAACATATTTATTATTTGTATAAAAACACTAAATAAATAAAATTTTTAATAAAGATTAAAATTTAAAATTATAAAAACTGAAATAGAATGATAATTATTGTATGATGTGTGCATGTTCTAGAGTTCTAGTATTGTCGATCGCAATGCTTCTCTTTATATAACCTATTAAAGTGTGCATTCCTCATGTGTTTATACATTATTCATAGGTCATTCAGATATAATTTAGTGTTATTAATATAATTTTGTGATTTGTATGCATAAAACCGAAAGATAAAAGAAGGGCTGCACAGCTTTGGGGGTAGCCCGACCCCAAAAATCTAAACTGATAAAACCTTAAATCCTAGGAATCACACCAGAGTGCAGTGCATTATGGTGGGCTTGATTTGCTAGTCAATCCACAGCTTTATTGGCTTCTCTGTAGACATGAAGATATTCAATTTCTCCATCAAAGTCTTGGTGAATCATCCTGCAGTCGTTGATGGTAGTCTTCAATCACTATGGCGTCTTGGTTTTGTTTTTAAGGCAGTTAATTACAAGTTTTGAGTCCCCTTCGATAAAAAAGCATTTATTGATGAAGTTTCTTGCTAAATTATGGGCTTCCCAAGCAGCACAAGCTTCAGCAAAGCTAATAGTAAATGATCATATCTTATAGGCTTTTAGATCTAAGATATTCCCCAAGTGGTCTCTTGCCACACAACCAATTGATCAATTACTGTTCACACAAGATGCATCAAAATTAATTTTGATCGCATCAAGGTAAGGACTCCTCCATCTGATTGGCATCCACTCCATAACTTTTCGTTTCATATCCTTCGAGCAAGCTTTAAATTCCCAAAAAGAGTTTAGGGCTCTATCAAGAATGATGGCAGGAGGCAAGCATTTATTTTTAAATATTTTCTCATGTCGGTTCTTCCAAATGTGCCATAGCAGAAAGACAAATTTCTCTTTAATATCAGGATCTTGACTATTATTCAAATCGTTTTCGGACAAATTCCTCCATATTTCATGGATGGATTGATTAATCCCATTTGTCAGCTTGAAAGTGCCTTAGGTGAACGGTAATTGCTCTAATATATCCCAAGTATTCTATATCTTTGTCTATATCCATGTGTCTCTAAAACATATATGTATTCATATCTAAATTATCTAATACAATACTTAATACTGTTACTTTGATCCTTACCTAATAAAACATGACTGAAGATAAAAGAAAGGAAGAGATGTGTTCTTGTCCTAAGAAAGGACTTTTCTGGGACTTTGTTGTGGGTTTCATTTTCATATCACCTAAAAGTTGAAACCCAAAACCAAATTATACATATTGTTTTTTTTTATAACTTTCATTTCCTGACCAAACAGTAGCAATTGTTTTGGTTCCATGCAACTCCACCAGCACGAGAGTTTGATAACCAGGATTTGTTTAACCCCGCCATCGAGTTCATGGCTTCATGCACGAGGAGGACTAGCCGCACGAAAATAAATACAGATTAGCCGGCTAAAACCATCTTACCAGGGACTCGAATTTGATCATTCCGTGTAGTTGGACTCTCTGGTCATTTGAATGTCTTTAACGTGCGTTGGAACTGGAAGCTTGTAAAGGCCTTCAAATGCAAACCATTGCCAAAACAATAACCGAAATTTCAGTCATGCCACTTATCTTGACGAAGACGACATCATATAGTTGGGAGAAGACTTTGATTGAGCCGAGTTTCGATGTACAAGAACAACCGGACTCCATAGTCAAGGCATACACAACATGGGATTAACCAATCTGAAATGCTAAAAATCCGTAAGATTTTGTGTCCAGCAAGTGTAAGGAACTCGGATCTCCTACCTACATAAGGGTCAAATTCCATCTGATAAGCTGATTGCAGCTCTAACTGATTTAGAGCCAAGGATGGCTATAGCCGAAAAACCACCAAGTGCAGGTGTTCACACTGTCTGAACAGCCTCTTGCAACCTTGTATTGAGAATATCTCCCCATGAAATAAACATATAAGTAAAAAATATATTCTCAATATAAGGCTGTAAAAGCTGTTAGAACAGACATGGCACTACTGAAGCCAAACTAAAAACCACCACCATATTGTGATGGGTTATCATGGTAAATACAATAAAGACGGATCAAAACTTTGGGTATATGATGACAGAGCACTAGAGGACAGAAGTACTACTGAGGCCTCTTTTGTTTGCAGTGCAATTTCATTTACACCAATGTAAAAGTATACGAATGCAAATGATTTCAATGCAAATTCTGATTCATTTTTGTTTCACCTTTTGCCTTGTTTGTTTTTTGCATTTGTAGATGAAAATATGAAATAAAATAAAATCCAGAACCTAATTAAAGTAAAACCCAAAACAAATGTAACCAAGAATCTGCATTTTTCATGCATTTATTTCAAGCTCTTTTCGCTTTTCGATAAGTTAATTATCAAGTAAATGCACTTATCCGAGTAAAGACTTACCCGGATAATTGCATTTATCCATATTGTTTTATTTCCCATGTAAATAAGGCAATGACCATTTTAGCCATAAAAATCTAATATTAAAAAGGGTATTTTTGTCACATTCAAGTGTTGACAACTCCCCCACCCCCCAAGGTGGGAAAGTTATTTACCACCTAGGAGATAGATATAACTTACCCCGAAAAATAAACTGTCTCTGGAGACTGGTCCCCACATAATCTGAAAAAATAACATGGGCTTCTTGGTCAATGAGAATCAAAATCCCATTGACCAACTTTCTCCCCTCTTAAAATCCAAAAATAAAAAATAAAAAGAAAGAAAGAAAACCCCCCAAGTATAAATGAAATTGCAGTGCAAACAAATGGAACCAGAAGTGCCATTGGATCCGCATATAATGCCTCCGAAGTACTGAATTGATCATCCTCCAGTGGTTTCCAAGATATAACGCCAGCAAGCGGCAAGGAGGGATCCTAATTCCTAGATAAATTACCACATTCTATTGGTACCACAGGAATTCGTTTACAAACGAAAATTTAAGCTGAAATCATACAAAACCCCCCGTTGTTGATGGTGGTATCTTGTTCAGAAATCGTGCGACCTAGACTCGTCAACACTAGCTGCTCCCAAAAAGCTTCCTGGAGTTCTTTAGATCCGGGTTAAAATAGACTGGATATATTTGTTTCTCTACCTCTTTGGTCTCTCTTCTTTCCTTTTCTTCTCTTTCCCCTCCTTTTTCCTTCATTTTGTTTGCTCAAATTTTAAATTACATGTCCCAATCCAATTACCTGGCCATGCTTCTTAATGATCGGAGTGTAAGACCAAAAACCCCCAAAATTCCACCATAAAGAGGCAGGGAAAAAACTTGAATGTAGAATCACCATATCATATATCCATCAAGGAAGGGTAATAGCACCTTGGGTAAAATATGATCTGCAAACAAACAAACTGAAAATGAACGAACCAGAAAATAAGTTCAGAAGGATCATGAACATAAGAATGAGTTCTGAGGCACTCACTGTGGCTTATATGCACAACTATAACAGTAACAGTTGAGACTTGTGGTCAACGCCATTGAAGATGAATGTGCCAGACATGGGGACAAATTGTTTCGTGATAAGCTGTATGGTGCAAGGAACAAATTCTATCTTAGCATCATAGATTTTGCAAAGAATGCCTAATGTAATGAAAGCAAACAAACCTTGATCACTTCCTGGGATGCAATGCCCCCTGTGAAGGCGGCCACTGCATGAAGCTCTGCACCACCAAATCTGCACATTTCATTGGTTAAGTCCTCCGTTAAGGTTGACCCATTAAAACCCAAGTCATTCAGTATGCCAACAGCTATAGTCTTCAATCGAGATATATCCTCATCCATCTCACTGCATAGTACCAAAAATAGTGTTTCAAGGAAGTTGAAGCACTTGTTTATAAAGATAATATGAATATCTAATAGTGGTATGATTGGTTGGTGCGATATATAAGAAAAAAAATGTTACCCATCAAACATGCCAGGGAATCTGTTGTAGTTGGTAGCAAAACGATCAACTGCTCGAAGCAGAATGTAAAACCCAATGGCAACACTACGAAAAACAGAAGAATGCAATCAATTACTAGAAAATGTACACAAAAACCAGTCAAGAAACAAAGAAGAGAACAATAAGACTTTAAGAGTCACTTGAAGATCCAAGCTAGAGGTTTCCAGTATCACTACCTGATGCAGGAGCTGAAGAGTCAAAATTGGAATTTTATGATATTTCATATATTTCTGTATTTTTGGACAGTAGGGGTATTTTTGTCATTTTTGCAATTTTCTGTGGGGTCCAATGATAGGGTTTAAATTGTCTAGTTATAGTTTGTTTATGTTTAAAATTTCAGAGTCATTGCAAAAGTAGGATTAGAGTTATTGAGTCTTCTTTGAATTGAAATAGGATATGACAGCTTAGTTTGAATCCTACTAGGATTATCGAGTCTAACAGTATGGACGTTTGACTCCTAGGATTATTATGAGTGTAGACTCTATAAATATGTATGGACGTTTTACACAAAGGCAATGAAATATATTGAGTTTTCTTCAGCTTATGCTAGCTATGGTGATTGATTCCCATGCCCTAGAGTGATTCTAGGCACCCTGTGAGTGATTCCAGGTATTTTCTCTCTTCTTTCTCTCCCTATTTTCTCTTTAATTCCTTCAAGAAGCCATTACAGCCATCAACAGCCATAAAACTTTGATCAAGAAGACCATTCAACATTCTCTAAGGACTAGAACTGAGCTGGTCCTACATCACTACCACATCCACAATATTTAACAATAGCATTAAGACTGCAGCACATGATGTAGCAATGAGAAAAGAAAGGAAGATTCTAACTAGTCATTTGAAAATAAAATAAAGAAAATGATGCCATTTCCCAGCAATATATGACTACTAGTAGTCCCTTGGTGCTGGTATGTGCCGGAAAACTGTCTCTGGATTATTAATTAGAGCAGTGCTGGCAAAAAATGCCAATGTTCCATCATCTTTCAATACATGTCGAGCATGGTAGGATCCATGTATCTTTTGATGAGTCCATTGTGTTTGTAAGGCATTTAAGAATGCTTTACATTGCTTATCAGCATCACTTTATTAGATATTTTCTTATTTTTTATCTTAATTTATTGTCTTGAAAATTTTTGCTTACAATTTATGGTCTTACTCCAACTTCGTGAATCTGAAAATGAGGCAAAAATCTCAAACCAGGTTTCCTGGACAAGGTACCATAAAGATTATAACAAGGCCGCTAGAATATCAAAGTTCCACTTTTCCATACTTGCAAGTATTAAAAAAAAAAAAGAAATATCCACTATATGACTGTAGTATTTGTAATCAGTTTGACCTGCATTGTCGTTTTAGACTAAGATGGATTTAGGAAAGGAGAAAAAACCGATGTTGCAATTTTGCAGGTTACCCATGTCATGCCAAACATGTATTTAAGGCCCAGTGAGAATGAAAATTCCATCCTCCCATTGGTTACTATATTAGAAATTATATATTTTGTAAGATAAACATATCGTTTCATAGATACAAGCAACAATAGTAGGAAGTCACCTGTAATCTTCGTCAGTTAAGTACTTCTGTAACTCTGGCAAGACAGGAGAATTAAATTCATCCTCAATTAGGCGGTATCTGCAAACCTGCACAACGGCCATTGATACAATAACATCATGACATCACACCAAAATCATTCTCACTAGTTGATAATTCTGTATGACTGCATATTGATAGTGATGATTGAGTATTTTCATTCTAAACCATAAAAAAGTATATTTTAATAATTTAATGAAAACTCAAAACTGATGCTTATGTCTCACAGTTCAATGAAAGAACTATGATATCAAAAGTGAATATATGGACATTTGCCATGCATGTAATATTGAAGCTTTAAGTACGATCACTGTACTGCAATTTTAAAAAGCCACCATGGTCATACATGGGGCTAAGGTTCTTTTTATAGACACTGAAGCCATTCTAAAATAAAAACTGAACAATCCAAGTTTTCAATTTCTCAAACCAACACTATAGAAGCTATTAAAAGCAAATGTCAATGATGTTTGCAGTGTATAATATTAAATTCCACACCAAACAAGCATACCCCCCATGCACGTATGCACACAAGGATGACTCTACTGATACAAAACCTAGGTGACTAGGCGATTTTTAGAGGTCGCCTTGCCCAATGCCAATGTGTTTTTCGTATTAGGTGCTCACCCATATACATATTATATTATCTTTTTTGAATGCGCATATGTGTTATATCATTTTATTGGTTGGTTTTATTTTATTAGAATACACCCTGTTGTATGTTACCATTTTTTATTAAGATAATTCTCTTTTATATTAAAGCTATGAAAGTTTCTTTGGGTTTGAGTTCTGAACTGAGAATAAGACAAACCAAGGACTGAGAAGATTCCATTGTTCAGTCCTAGTCGTCCAAGACCTCCAGGTAAGTTTCTTCTTTAAGAAATATTTTTGGGACTAAACAGGGGCTCCGCCTCCTCCTTCTTCTTCCTCAAATCACACTGGTACTCCTGTATTTTACTTTCTTACTTTAAAAAAAAAAAAAAACACTTTTGGCAATAAAACAGAGGCTGCACCCCAACTTTCTAAAATTTTCCTGTAATTTTTGCACTATTTTTTAATAATGCATTTTTTTGAACGAAACAGGGGCTCTGTCCCTTTATTTTTTTCTCTCCTTTTTCGTCGCATTCTCCATTTTTATTAGCCTGAAACAGGGTCTCCGCCCCCTTAAACACATCCAAGTCCTCTTGGACAACTTATTTTGGGAATGAAACAGGGTCTTATTTTTCTCTTTTTTTAGCTGCACTCCCCCTTTTTGTTGGCCTGAAACAGGTATGATGTATATATGATGGCATTTTATGTTTTAATTGATTGATTTTATTGCTAATAGTATACAGGTATGTTGGTTAGTATTAAAAACTAATAAAGTAGCTTAAGATGGATAGGGGTATTTATTTTATACTTTCAAATTCCATTGCCTAGGCGACTGGGCGCCCTGTGGTCGCCTAGGCGCCTTGACAACTATGATACAGAATAAAGGATGCTCTGAACACAAAAACATTTAACAGTAAATATAGACGTGCATTAAAAAAAACACTTTTGGGAATAAAACAGAGGCTGCACCCCAACTTTCTAAAATTTTCCTGTAATTTTTGCACTATTTTTTAATAATGCGTTTTTTTGAACGAAACAGGGGCTCTGTCCCTTTATTTTTTTCTCTCCTTTTTCGTCACATTCTCCATTTTTATTAGCCTGAAACAGGGTCTCCGCCCCCTTAAACACATCCAAGTCCTCCTCCTGGACAACTTATTTTGGGAATGAAACAGGGTCTTATTTTTCTCTCTTTTTTTAGCTGCACTCCCCCTTTTTGTTGGCCTGAAACAGGTATGATGTATATATGATGGCATTTTATGTTTTAATTGATTGATTTTATTGCTAATAGTATACAGGTATGTTGGTTAGTATTAAAAACTAATAAAGTAGCTTAAGATGGATAGGGGTATTTATTTTATACTTTCAAATTCCATTGCCTAGGCGACTGGGCGCCCTGTGGTCGCCTAGGCGCCTTGACAACTATGATACAGAATAAAGGATGCTCTGAACACAAAAACAWTTAACAGTAAATATAGACGTGCATTAAAAAAGCACAAACCAAGGAAGAATTTATACGGGAACCATGAACAACATTAAATCTGATGTGCAAAACCAGTCTTTCTTATCAGTAATGTACAAAATTATACTGCTGCGACATGCATGAATCATGGTAATTAATGGTCAATCTATCAATTAATAAAGGCAAAAAAGTTGGACTAATAATTTTATTTGCAAATCCACACCTTACGCAATTTGTTTGGAACTCTGGTAATGCATAGAAAGTAAGCAAAAAAAACATTTCCATCCTTTTAGGACATTATAGTCCATACTAGATAACACATAAAAGCTTTGATATCCAAAGGACTTACTGTCAGCTTTCTTGCATTTTTACAGAAGGTTTTTATGGTTGTCCTTGGAATGGCATCTTGATCCCTACCAATTCTTTTCAAGATATTCCTCACCCGACTCTCAACAGCAAGAAAATCTGCCTCAGCTTTAGCCTGGTAAATCTTTTGCAAATTTACGTAATATCTGCAAAAAGGTTGACATGCAGTGTATTATTACAACAAAAAGAAAGGAAAAGACAGCAGTGAGTGCCTTGAAAGATTTTGAATTTAGCTAGTTATGATTCAGTTACTAACTCTGTTAAAGAAGTCATATCTGGTATAGAACCCTCTAGAGGTGCCTCTCCACCACCTTCATTTACAATGAAGTCCTGCAATCAAAAGAAGCTTCATTTTGTAAAATTTCCTGAAAGTTAGTTATGATTAATTTTTTTTTTGATGAATAGTTATGATTAATTCAATAAACCAAAAAAAAATGATAAGCAAATGAAAAGGAAAAAAAAAAGAAGGTGAATGGATAAATTTTCTTGACAATGATAAATGATTATCTTTAACTGACACTTTAGCTAAGCAAGGAGTTAGTAGGGAGGCTTTGTTTTGGGCCTGTTTGTAAGTTTTTGATTTTCTTTTTCCATCCTTTTTGTGGGTGGTAAGCCTGTAATCTTTTTAATTATCAAAATGAAAGTTACCGTTTCCTATCAAAAAATAAATAAATAAATGGTTATCTTTGTAATTGTTAAAAGCTCATTGATGGCAGCTATTAGATACTAAAGCAGTACTGTTTTCTAGGTTACAGATAAAAAAAGGTATTGTTTTCTAGGGTTTATACAATCTAGAGTTTAACTATAGATAATTTACTGAAAAGAGTGATGATATTGGATAGCACTAACTGTTTTTTCTGTAATGAGGAAGTGGAATCTGTTGACCACATTTTTGCATTATTGTTTTGCTAGAAGGCTGTGATCCAAAGTTCTAGACATTTTTGGGTTGCACTTTTGTTTTCCAAATCCTGTGATGGAACTTTTAACCAGTTAATTGAAGGGCCTGAGAAAAAAGGGAAAGTAGTTTGGAAAGTAATTCCTTTGGCAATTTTTTGGACTGTGTGGATGGAAAGAAATGGCAGAGTTTTTGAAGCTATGGAGAAATCAAATGATTTAATTGTAAAGGAACTATGGGGTAGAATTCACTCTTGGATTACAGTGAACAGAAGTTTTACAGATATTCCACACAGCTCTTTTCTGAGTTCCACTTCTTTATTCACAGTTTCTTACTGTATAGAGTGAGGTTTTTTTTTCTTTAATACAATACATTACCTTTCCTCAATACACAAAGCCACACACACAATCTAGAGTTGTTTCTATAGACCACCACTTGACAATTCAGCCCACCAAGGACCCTTTTTGTAATTATTCCTTTTTCACCTTCAGCCCTTTAAGGGCTCCTTTGTTAATACATACGACTTATATATATATGTTAGTGAAGAGGTATTTCGGTCTTTGTACCTGTTGAGATTGCTGAGTTGTTTTATTATGTTAGTTYGAGTGCCTCTTACTTAAATAAGGGCACTGATGTCTTTTCCTATCACATTAATAATATAATAACTGTTTACAAAAGGTTTGAGTCGAGGGAGAGTGGACTACATATGTAACAAGCTGGGATTATATGATATATACTCACCAGCTTGAGGGGGAGTGTTAGTGAAGGGATATTTCGGTCTTTGTACCTGTTGAGATTGCTAAGTTGTTTTATTATGTTAGTTCGAGTGCCTCTTACTTAAATAAGGGCACTGATGTCTTTTCCTATCACATTAATAATATAAAAACAGGTCTGACCGAAAGGAGGGTTGAATTTTTCCCTAATTCGAACCAAACTTTTTCTCTTTCTTCCTCCTTCCTACTTGCTTGCTTTACTTGACTGCTAACGGACAAACAGACTTCTAGGGCAGGCCGAACTTCAACAATATATATATATATAGACTCTTTGGGGATGGGGATCAGTTCGTTTTGTTAGACACCCCTGAAAACTTTGGTGTTCTCACAAGCTGGAAGATTGACATGGTATCAGAGCGGGTCATATCCTCCAGCTTCTGATTCAACTAACTTCTTGGGTGATTAGGGATTGTTTAAGAAGTATTTTGATTACTATCAAACTCTGGTTGAAGGCTATTTGAGAGCTATTTTAATCAGCCGAAGCTGATAGGTTTTTTCTGGAAAAGACGCCCAGCAGGTCAGTTTTCCCTTGTTTTCTCAAAATCGGCTGATTCAATCAGCCTAAAACTTTGTAGTTAGTGTTGCCCAGGCCTCCTTTAATTGGTCATTAATTTGCTTTGAAGATTGATTTGGATTTGATAGGGTTTTGATCCCATCCTGCAGTCGACAGTCCTGAAACCTTCCATTTTGGGACTGAGATCAATACAGCCCTGTTATTCTGAGATTTCTGCAGCAAAATCTCAGTTATTTGGTGAAGTATTAATTAAATACTGCTTTTAAACTGTTACTGATCTAAGTTGGGTGGTCAATCTCTGGTTTTTCCTTTCTCTTGAACTCTGTTAACCTATTTTGGACCGTGGTTGTGTTTCGGAATGTCTGAGAAGGTAGATATCATTCCTGTAAAATTCGATGGAACTAACTACAGCATGTGGAAGTTCCATTTTGATTTCTTTGTTGAAGGGTAAGGCCTGGAGGGAGGAAATTGTTATGGGCCCGAGCGTAGGATCGCGTCACGGGTCGTTCCACGGCAGGAACCCCTGATCTTCC